ATATTATCGTTTATCGCAATAAATTTTGAGACAATTAATCGCCCAGCAAAATTTGTTATCGTGACAGGCCTGTGAAATGAGACATTTTCCTGTTTATCTTCTGTTAATAAATCCATAACACAAACAGCTTTTCTGACATTATTTAAAACATTAGATAGATTATATAAACTGTAAAATATTAATAATAATTGGATTAATATTATTATTAATAGTTTTTATGATTTCCACATCGTCAGTCCTTTTTTCTGCTCTGTTGTCAACATGTACAGTAATGGGAAATCTAGACTCTTGACTGTTAGCGTTAGCCTTTAGCTTCTCCAGCCGATCACACGGTCACCTGGTTTCTGAGCTCCAGCTGTTCTATAGAACCTCCTTGCCTCAGACAGATCATCCAATCATCATGCAGAAGCTGAGCGTCCAGGCTAACCGAGGCCAGCCCACTGCTCCATAGACCCCCAGAGATGCTGAGCGTCCGATGGGCGGGACAAAACCAGCATCTATCCAATGACTCGTCTCGTTTCGCTGCAGTCTTTGCTTTTGAACCCAGTGGAAGCTCAGCGTCTGCACTGTTTAAAGCTCTGTGAAGCTGCGGGAATGAATGAAATGAGGAAAGTCTCGTCGTTACCAGTGATAAGAAGCTGATTCTGAACAAAAGTTGAGTGCGTTGTGGTGCATATTTAGTCAGTGACATGAACACACAACAGTATATATTTGATCACTTAGTTGTTTGACATTTTAGGGGAAGCTGAGCTTCCCTTGCAGTCTTAGAGCAATCACCTCTGATTTCAGTTCCTCACATACGGTGGTGTGAGGGTCTCAGTGCAGAAGATTAATTTTCAGCTGACCACTTGGTTTTTACTGATGTCGATGTTTAAAGTTAGTCACATTTTCAATATTTTTATGTTGAACTCTGTTTTTTTTTTTTTTCTTGGCTGCCAAGGTGGATTTAAACTCATGCCTCTGAATATAAGATAACAGATTTTCTCTCTGCTTCTTACTGTATTTATGGAAATATGCATTTGTTCTGTGTTTAACCATCTTTGTATAAAAACGAATGTTTATTTTTCTCCTCTCTGGGGCTCTCTGTTCAGGAGATGATGATGGTGAGTAAAATACAAGTAGTTGAACAAGTTTTTGTATTATTATCTGTGTTGGAAAAACTATTTTAGACTTTGTGTTTGTGTCATTTTGCAGGAGAGGGCTTCTACAAGTGGCTCGAAGGTGAGTTGCACCTCATTTTTCTGTTTCTCTCTTCTGTCATAMTTGTGGGTCCAAACGAAGGTTGCTTTAGAAAATCTTCACTGGTGTGTTCCTTTCTACTGAATGTCACGACACCAATAAACTTCCAGTTTTCAAGGTTTTTCAGCAAAAACACTAATGTTAAAAATTGGCTCAAAAAAGTTTTTTTTACACTTAATAAAGGATCTGATTTACATTTTCACCTGACTGCACTTCTGTCACTGTGCAGGTTTGTGTTTGGAGAAGAGAGTTTTTTATCGACTCATTTCAGGCCTGCACAGCAGCATCAACATCCACCTGTGTGCCGAGTACCTGTTGGATGGTAAGATCAGCATCACGGTTGTTCTCATCATTACTAACAATCCAGTTATACCAAGTTATACCAAGTATTCATCTATATTACTGGATTGGACATCACGTGACTTGTTGTGCACCGCACAGGTGCCATGGCCATGCTGGCGAAAAACCAGGAAGTTCAACTATTTATACAGGTTCTTCAATGCCTGCGTTCGCCCCCTACTGACCTAC